GGGTTATTTTCCAAGTTACTATGCATATCTACAAACTCACAAAACAGGGTACTTTTTCTTTTTTAACTAGTTTTTGTGGTGAGGAACTATTGAAAAATAGTGTTTTTATGATTGATTCCATGAATTTATGCTGGGATGGAAAATAAATGACTGAAGAAGGATGCAGATTCTGTGCCTCTATAATTTCTTCACAATGCTATTTCCAGTAATAGGCATTTATATTCTGACATGGGTCAGAATAGCCTTACTTCTACACAATTCTTTTAGCTGGAGGAGTCTTGTACAAAGGAAGTTTACTAACTCTAGAAGAAAATGTGAAGAATGCAGCCTGATCCCTTCAGTAATTTTCCAGCATTCACAGTTACCTTCCTCATCTGGTACCTAGAGGCCACAGCATGTGCACGCACACTCTCTCCTAACATTATAACCTACACATTTAAGCTTGTGCGATGTGTTAAAGAATCTACTGGACTCTTGGTTTCACCACTTGGTCTAAGTGACTGAAAGTCAGAGCTCATGTGATTAAAAGAACAACTCCGTCTTGGTTTTAAGAACTACCCCCTAGTCCTAGTGTAGAATATGTTGTTGCTGTTATATACTGTAGAGTCGGAATGAACTCAGAGCTGACTTCCCAGCCAGTTTTCAGAGGCTGACGATCACAAGGGAGGAGATTACCTATCTTCCTCCCCTGAAGCAGCTGGTAGATCCAAACGACATATTTCAGGGTTGGCAGCATGACTACTTACCACAAGATCACAGAGTTACAGGATATGGTGCAAATGAAACAATAGGTAAACAAAAAATCAAGCCTGCTGCTATCAAACAAATTCTAATGCATGATTTTCCTCCTGCAGGTTTCTGAGATGTAAATCTTTATGGGAACAGATTGTCTCATCTTTCCCCTAGGAAGCAGCTGGTGGATTTGAACTGGTAACCTTTCAGTTAGCAGTTCAATTAGTAACATACCAGATTTCCTTATTAGGTTCTGGAGAAACCGATGCCTGTGATTTTAATCTTTCTTGAGAATCTTACATTTAGGAACTATTTTGGGGGTTGTTTCCCCTAAAAAGTACTTATTTAAGTTTATTTTATCTTACTTTTACCACTGGAAAGCTGCTTTTGCTGTGGAGCGAGTAGATATTTCATTACTTCAAGAAAGTTGATATCTTGTTGTTTGTATCCATGTCCCAGAAATTGTCCAGCTTTGACAGTAAGTACTGCTATCATGCTGTTTGAGGTAGACTGGGATATCGTTGGCCACTCAACTGGACCACTGGGGTGTATGTTCAGCGGTAATCAGGTAACTTGCTCTTTGCTGAGAGAAAGAGGCAAGAGCGGCGGGTGAGCTGACCAGGGTTGAAAAGATGTCTCCTCTACTTTACAGCAAAGGTGCCTCGCTTTGCTAACCCAGCACTTGGACACCAATAACAAAAGGCTAGTGCCTTTAGGGACTTAAAAGCTTCTCTAAGCCCAGTGCGGGTTGAAGCGGGAGGTTGTTGTTAGCAGGGAGCATGATGGATAGATAAGAGTTCCAAAAGCGGGGTGGTGGTGCAGAACCAGGAAAGCAAAGCAGAATTTAAAGTGGCTCCTGGATTTTTCCCCCTTTGGTTTTTTTTTTTTTCCTTGAATGCAGACCCGTTCCTCAGCAGGATTCCCATTCAACAAAGCTCTAAAGGCAATGGTTGGCTGGCTGTTGTCCTGGTCAGCCCCACCCGGCTGTAGAGAGCCCAGTGTGCGAGGGGGCAGTGAGGGAAGGGGATAATGAGCCTTCTGGAATGGCAGTGGTGCCAGTGGGTGTGATGGATAGCCTGCAACCCTTTCTGTGCTACATGCCCTTTATCATCTAGTCGGGGTGGTTAGCGGACTGTCAGAGGAAAAATAATTTAGCGGTGGTGGCTTTAACTGATGTGCTGCATTCGGGGGTCAAATGACTATTACAAAGTAGTAGCACTGCCTAGTTTCTTCATCGTGAGAGCTCAGGGTTGACAACATAAAAGAAACAGGCATCACGGCCAGAATTCACTGACATCCTTCAAATTTCACCTGGGGAGGGGTGGAGAGGGAGCAGGCAGAGAGAAAAGGTGGGGACAGGGAGAGAAAGGAGGCCTCTTACTAAAAATAACATTGCCCGGACAGATCAGAGGTGAGCCAGGAGGAGAGCAACCACTTTGGGAGGCCTCAGGCTGCACCTGTGTTTGTTTTGGGATGATGAGGGGAGAGCCAAGGAGTTGGTGGTGGGGAATCCAGTGATCAGTGATCTTGTCACAGAAAACAACAAAGCCTGGAAACTGACAAAGGTCACCTGGTGTCTTAGAAAGGGGCGCATCCTCCATTGTACAACTGCTCACAAATCAAGCGGGCTGGGAGCAAAATGACTTCCACAGGTATTGTTGTTACCTTGGGTGGTACACAAGGTTAAGTGCTTAACGTCCTGCCAAAAGGTTGGTGGTTCAAACCTAGCCAGAGGTGCCTCAGAAGACAGGCCTCATTGTCTGCTCCTGAAAAGTCACAGCACCAATCCCCAGTGGAGCAGTTCTACTCTACACACCATGGGGTCTCCGCGGCTCAGCCAACTGGGTGGTAACCAGCAATGAGGATGGCTGGTGAGCAGCAGCCATAGGTCATGGGGTCATGGGATAGGAAGGAAAAGGAAAAAATGGAGGAGCAAGAGATTAGAAAGCTAAGGCTACAGGATTTCTCACTAGGAGGCATTCTGTTGCTGTGGTTGGGTGTTGTGGAGTTAAATGGACTCGGTGTACAACAGAATGTTCCTGCTCTCTCCTCACAGTTGGGGCTGTGATTTTTAAGGCCATGGTTGCAGACACGATGTAAATTCACCTCGTTGAGGGACTTCCTCAGTTTCACTGACCCTCTTTTACCAAGCACGATGTATTTTTCCAGGGATGGACCCTTTCTGACAACATGCCCATCGGCACTGAGAGAGAGCAATTTCATCGCAAGGTTGAGAGAATGACATTGAAGTTGTACTGGTTTTGTAAGCAGCCTGTTTGCACTTAGACTTATGGATTGCAAGGCCTATGGAGATTACATTTGAAACCAGTCCAAATTGCCCCTTAGGACGATCAGGGCTTTTAAAAAAAAATAGGAAAATAAATCAGTGAACTGAGGGCACAGACAGGGGGAGAAGTACTCATCACATAATTGAAATTCCTTGTTTAGTCTTAATAGTTTATTGATGAAGAGCTAAGTTGTTAATTAGAAGGTTGGCAGTTTGAATCCACCAGCATGCCTTGAATAGGAGGATGAGAGAATCTTTTGGTAAGATTCACAGTCTTTGAACCCAGATGAAGGGTTACTTGGGAGTAGAATTGACTCAAAGGTGGTGTGTTTGGCTTGGTTCTCCTTCAGTAGGAGTTCTTAGGTGGTGCTTGGCCACTACCAAAAGTTTGGAGGTTCAAGTCCTTCCAGAGTGCCTTGGAATAAGGCCTGGCAATCTACTGAAAAAAACCAACACTCAACAGAACATAGAGCTTCTCTGACATTTATGGTGTTGCCATGAACAGGAACTCAGTCATGACAACTGTTTCTCCCTCCCTCACTTGACCAAGCTACACGAGAAGTACAACATTACCGGCCTTGCTCATTGTATGCCCCCTCCATCTGCTTGGTAAAAGTCAAATAGATATTTATTGGATGAATAAATAGATGAAAGCTTACACTCCAGACATAATTCAAAATGAGGGCTCTGCCATAATACATTTCATTTGTATTTCTATAAAGCATCCCTTAGTGGTAGCTGAGGTTTTGGTGGTACCTTGTACCTTGCATTGTTTAACAGATTTATCTTTCTCTGAAGCTACATAATGGATTCTTTTCTAGGTGTTGTGATGTAATAATGATAACGATCATAGTAATAACTTACAATTATTGAGTACTTACTATGAATCCCACACAGGGCTAAGTGCTTTTTAACTATGTAAAAATGCTTATCGTCTTGATTGATGCCCAAAATGAATAAAGACAATTTTCTGTATCTAATACATTAGTGATGCCCACAAATAATCTTCAGAATGATAAGAGAAAATAACAATTTGCATAAACAAGCAATTATCCCACTTAGAAGCATAAGGTTATTGTGAAATGGTATGAGGATGGTTCCTGAGAAATACATATCTCCGAAAACTATTTCTTGAGTGAATGACAGTAAACTCATGTAACAAAGCAGAGCCACCACGTTGGTTGGGAAGGCTCAGGAGGTGATAGGTGATGGAAGAAAGCAAGGCTTTACCATCCAGATCTGTCTGCTGTCCCCCTATGCCTTTAAGTCTCGTGTTCCTGATCCTCTTTGTCTTTATATTGTACCTGTCCAGGGTCCCCACCAACCTCTGTCTTGAAGCTGCAATAGAATCATTGTTTCCAAACAAGATAACAGAACTCATATTTCTTTGTTCTTTTTCTAGTATCCCTGCATTTCCTTATTAGCTAGAAAGTCAGCCCAAACAGCTACCAAATACATCTTCACCTTATGATCCTTTTTATCTGGGTGCAGAGAGCTTAGGGGTCAAACCGGGGAGAGAGCTGTGCCAGGCCTGGCCCTTCCGCCTGCCCGTGCAGGTCCCTTCTACAGGACTAGAAAGACCCTTTCTTTGCTCAGCCCCCCTCTTCCCTTAGCTTGTGCTGAGGCGTCTTCTTTGTAGCTGGAATCATCATTACAAAAATTACCTGGCTTCATTAATTCTCCCATTACCTCGGGGAAGTTGGAGTGTTGACATGCTCTTTCATTTCTTTACATTCACATGATTCTCTCGCCAAAAAGCCTGAAAATTGCTCTTAATGATAAGGATAGGAAAGGGGGCCTTTTGTGTGCGCGAGGCAGAAGCCTCGCTTTCTGAGAAAGGAGCGCCTGGGAGGCTGCAATCTACCTGAGAGTAATGGGGAGAGAGGCTCTGCCCGCTTCCCTGGTTACGGCGAGGACAATCACCACTCACATTCACCTGAACATCCTTCCACCTGCAGGGCAGGTACCTGAGAATTCTCACCTGCGGCAAAAGGTGACTTTTACTCCGGCTGGGAAGGTGGCTGGGTAGCCGAATGTTAAAGAGGGCTTGGAGCGCAGCCTGGGCCGCCTGGCCTTTGGCCAGCTTCTTGCTCCTCCCGGAGCCTTCAAAGGTCCTCCCGTCCACTCTCACGGCCATCACAAAGCTCTTGGGGCGCTGCCTCTCCACCGTCTCCGACAGGCAGACGTAGCGCAGCCCCGAGCGCAGCTCGTTGAGCAGGACCACGGGGTTCTTGTCGCGCTCGGCTGCGGGTCCCAGCCTGTGCTGGCTGGGCTTGGCCTGGCCCACCAGGTCCCACGTGCGGCAGAGGAGCCTGCCCTGCCGGTACGCGGTGGACAGCAGCTCGGTGTTTACAGGGCGGTAACCCACCAAGTCCTCGCTGGGGGCCGAGGGCTCGAACTCCTTGAACAGAGTGTCCGGGAAATCAGCCTGGTCGGAGGTGAAGTCTGGGGACGGGCTCATGCCGTTGCCCATGGCAAAGTGAGCTTGGCAGGCGTTGGGGAACTGCACGAAGGACTTGAGAGCCAGCTCTGCCGCGCGCATCTTGGCCTTCTTCTTGGTAGGGCCCGTGCCCTCAAAGGTCAGCCCGTTGACTTCCACGGCCACCGCGAAGACAGGCGCGTGCACAGGGCCCGTCTGCGACACCATCTTATACTGCAAGCCGGGCTTCAGCTCGTGCAGCTGCACCAGCGCGTTCTTGGGCGTCACGGACCAGGACAGTTTTTTCCAGATCAGTTGCAGTTTGCAGAAATGACCGCTGTTGCCTTCCTCCAGCGGCCTTTTCCTTTTTATGCTGGGCGCGCTTCCTCTCGCCCTGTCGCTGGGCGGCAGCGGCTTGGTCTCCAGATTGCCCACGTTCCGGTTTTCCTTCACCTCTGTGCTGCTGGTACCTGGCAGTGAAAATACATTAGTCATGACCCGAGGCAATGGCACGTTGTTAATCATGACACATACAGTACCACAGTGTGAAACTTGGACTTCATAAATATAAAAGCCCTCACCATCAGGGCGACAAAAGCTAGGCCTATAAAATGCGCTGTAACATCCTTGTACTGATTTGATGGAAGCATCTTACCAGAGAAATACATGAAAGGCAGCATTTTTATTTCTTGGCTGGTAGAAACAATTATGCATCCTTCATGAGATGAGGAATGAATTCCTGCCAGGGACTAATTAAGCTTGAGGAGGAAGGACACCACTGAGCCAGGGAATTTGTTCTGGAATAGTTCCTGGAGAGCTGTATTTCTGAGAAGCTAGAGGAGGTGTGGAAGTGTGAAGAGGCTGAGATTCTGCTCAGCACTTTATCCCATGTATTGCACTGGGGACTGCTGCCATGCCCTGAGAACAGCAACTAACGTCACTCAAACTGTCCACCCCCTGGCCCTTCCTCTCTTCCGGTGTTACTGCCACCAAAAAGCAAATAAATAAACAACATGACCCCTTCTATCAGTGTCTTGCAATGCTGAAGATCAGCGAGGCCTTTTCTGCCTGTAGTGGATGAAGGAGGCAGTGTCTCTTTTCTGTCCCTGGGAGTCAGGTTCTACTCAGAAGTGAGGATTTTTGATTCTCTTGTCAACATACAGAACAGGATGGTGGCAGTTGGTCAGCAGTAAGGGAGTCAAAATCTTTCTTTGTGAGGAAAGTGAAGGGCTCTGCTTTTGTACCATCCCTTTGTTTTTCCAGTCCCAAACAGAGACCCTCAAAACTCAATCTCCTTGTTTTACAACAGGATATGAAAAATAATGGTACCTGGTCAGCTCACTGTAGTAGGATGAGCAAGAAGTGAGCCTCAGCTGTGTGATGCAGCAGGGCTGAGGGGAGTGGTGGGGGTGGGGGGTTGGGGAAAGGGGAAGATGAGGTGGGTGGATGGGTGGCTGTTGGGAAGTGGGCCTTCAGGGGCATGGAAGGGATGGGGAGTCCTCTGTCAGGGGCTAGTCAACTACAACTCTAGACTTAATCCTTTTGCTGCCTGTTTTCATAAATACGGTGTTTTGGAACAAATCCTGTCCATTTGCTGAAGTCTGCATTTGCACTACTGTGCCAAAATTGAGTATTTGCAACAGAGACCACGCCATCTGCAAAGCCTGAAATATTTACTCTTTAATTCATTGCAGAAAGCCCTTCTTGACTCCTGTCCTAGGTAGAAAAGCACACGGGAATCTTTCACAGGCCATTAGAAAAAGGCATGGCTTTTACATTTTATCTAAAATGGAGTGCATCTGTCTCCACTCAGGGAGTTTTGGCAGCCATAATTTGGGGAGTTGTCCTGCTAACCCAAACGTTCTCTCATGTGAAGGCACCAGAGGCCCCAAAGGAGAAAGACGGGCAATCTCATCTTCTGTTAATTTACATCTTTGGAAAATCTGATGGAGGGTCAGCTATCAGTTGGTTCTTACTTTATAGAAATTTTTGTCTCCACTCTGTGTGAGAATCACATGGGAAGAGAATCACAATGGGAAGGTTCTGTAACCATCATATGCTGACATGCTCATCTCTCAGACACCGTAGGGGCTCAAGTGTGGACCAGACCCTAAAGTCTGCTTCTATGGAGTCAGTTAAGACCTGCATCACATGTGTGTCAGAGTATAGCTGTGTTCTATGGAGTCTTTGAAGGCTGATTTTTTTTTTCTCCCCAAAGAGATTGTCAGATTTTCTTCGGAGTCATCTCTAGGTGGACTCGAACATCTGGATTTTTGGTTATCAGTTGAGCATATTTACCACCTAGGGACTCCTGAGTGTCTGCTAGGTGGGAAAAAATTGAACAAAAATCCTAGTGATACCAGCATGTAGCTGGGATGAGAATCAGAGCTGTAAATGGACATGGTGGGGAACCTCCAGCACCAACCCAGGGCCAGTGGGTACATTGGAATGAGGTGCCCTCATCTTGTCCCTTAGACACCGGAATCTCCTGTTCTAGTGCCTTAATTTCTGTAACTGAAATTTTGGCCACTTTAATGAGATAGGCAAAGACTTTGCAAAGACTAAGGGAACTTGGAGCCATAGAGAATTGCACTGTTCACTCAAAGACCACACCCTTCTGGAGTTTCAAATCCACCAGTAGCTCTGTGAGATATTGATGATTTATAGCATCAGAGGGTAAGCTCTGAGTCAGTTCCAACTTGATGGATAAGAGGTTTGAAAATAATATTAATTGTTTATAAGTTTAGAACGCCCATGGCCTAATGGCAAGAAGCTGCTCTGCAATCTGGAAGGCATGCAGTTCTAGGCCACCAGCTGCTCTGTGGGAGACAGAGGAGCAATCTCCTCCTGTGTGGTTAACTCCTGCTGAAAACAGGCTGAAGGGTCAGCTATGGGTCAGTTCTGACTCGATGGCACAACAATAATAATCAAGTAGATTCTAACTCATAGCTACTTTAGAGGACAGAGTGCAATTGCCCCATAAAGTTTCAGGCTGTAAATCTTTGTGGAAGCAGACTGCCACATCTTTCTCCTATGGAGCAGCTGGATGGTTTGAGCTATTGAGATTTTGGTTAGCTGGCAGATTATTTTACCATAGCGCCACCACTAAGTGTAACCACCTTAGAAAGTAAGTTCAGATCCATCAGAGGAAATGATTGGCAGCCTCCTCCCATTAACATCAGCCTTGGAAAGCTGATGGCAGGTCACTGTGAGTTAGAATTGATTCCACAGTAATTGATTTGAGGAAGTGAAGGAATACTAACCCTACCCAGTAATTCCCAAGAACATCAAGTATTCCTCCTTTTGCTTTCGTGCTACAAAAGTAGCTTTATGGATATTGACAAAGTGACAATCCCTTTCTTGGCCATTTTCTAGTAACCCTCTGTCTGGTGTGTCTGTTATTATTGTTGTGTGCCATCGAGTTGGAAATGATCCATATCTGACTAGACGATGATAATTATGCTGAGACCACAGTCTTAAATCAATGTCTGGATTCAGGAGAAAAGACTGGTTTTAAAGAGCCATTCCACACAGATGATGCAAAAGACACACACACACACACACACACACACACACTGTTTCCCCTTTGTTTTGCCTTAGATGTCTCTTTGGGAATTAGAAGATCTCAAAGTTTCCTTGGAAATGTCAGTACAGGTTGTGAATGAGTTTTTCCCTTGTTAAGCAGGTGAAAATGATTGTTAACAGCTAGACCTTGGCTTACAAGCAGATATTGCCTCTCTTAGCACTGGCATGTAAATACGTTTTCTTCACGTCTGCCCTGAAAGGTAAGTGGGTTGCAAGACCTTTACCCTCAATAATAACACTCCTGGAGTTCTGTTTTTGTAACATTGTTGTTGAAGAAGAAGAAAGGAAAAAGTACAATGTCATAGGCACAAAAGATGCTTTTGAAAATTGGATACCTTCAAGAGTCATTCTGACATTTTAGAATGTTCTTTTCAGAGCTACCGTGCTGACTGTTCTTTCAGATAGGCCTGAAATGTTCAGTTACCTCCACCACTACTGTCGCCATCTGCATGGAAAAGAAATCAGTCCATAGAGAGTTTGATCAGAGTGGAGTCGGCTCAGGCCCTGCTTGGACTGCATCTCCCTTTGGTATGATCTTAAATCTTCACATTTTAACTTTTAAAATGGTGATGTTTTAGAAATTATTTGCTTCTGAAAAAATACTGGCTTTGGAGAGGAAATACACTTCAAAAGAGTGTTTCTGAGATTTTTATTAAGTCATAGATTCACAGTATTTATTTATAATCAATCTTGAAACAGTCATCTTAGAAATACCAAGTACTCAGAATCTTAATCAGTTCTGTGAATCTTTGTGTATTTTGGGTATGCATACAACAATGGGATTTACCTGTTGGGGAACTTTAGGAAAGGGGCAGTGGATGAGAAACCAGACAGTTTGCAGAACTGAACATAAAATTTAAAAAAAAAATAAATTGCAACACAACTAAAAAAAAAATCCCTATACCAGATTGCCTAGAAACTTGCTTGGAGCTTTCTAATTTCTTATTGATTTCTCACCATGTGGAGATTGGCCGAGCCTGTTAGTGTTATTAAAGTGGCCGGCATATCAGATGACCTTTGTTACCTTGGGAGGTAGAAAGGTATATCTCAGAGCAGCAGAACTTTCAAATCAACACTTTTCCCCTTCACACGCATCAAAATGTATTTCATAGCCTTCTTTTCTACAACTTCAAATATCTGATAGCTGTTGTTAGTAAAGTCTACAGCATAAGCAACGGCTTATGAGATCATGGGAGGAGGACCTTCTATAGTAAATCTATAGGATGCTAGACTTGGGGAGGGGAGCAGATTTATAAACTCTGTCCTAGCTAGAATCTCTTGTGGTGATATTTACTAACTGATTTTCTAGAATTTCTAGATCAAGGGTCTAGACACTTTGCAATGAGGCCTACTCTGCCCTGTTTAACTGACTTGCTGAGTCAAAGCAGTTTAACTCTGCTCTAACCTTGGGCACAGCTCTGGTCCAATCTTATATTTTCTTTACCAGAAGCAGCCCAGTGCATCTGGCGCATCACAGACTCTGGAGCCCATCAGAGGTCGAATATCATTTATACATGCATAACCTTGAGCCAACCACTCAGCCTGTCTCAGTTCCAATATTCTAGAAACATTAAACAAAGATGTGGAAAGTATTTGCCTTATAAACTTCCTAGAATGATAAGGTAGATGGGGGTGGTAGTAGTTCAGTGGTCAAATTCTCATCTTCCATGCAAGAGACCCTGGTTGGATTCCTGACCAATATACCTCATGTGCAGCCACCACTTACCTACCTGTCAGTGGTGCTGACTTGGTTTCAGTGGAGCTTCCAGACTAAGACAGAGTAGAAGGAAAGGTCTTGTGATTTACTTCTGAGAACCAGTAAAAACCCTATTGTTTACCATCGTTTGAACTCTGGTAGCACAGTCCATGGGCGGTTAATGCTGCT